GAAAACAAAATCATTCTTGTTATCTTTATTTATTTATAAACAAAGTGCTCTGAAGGCCATCCTAGAATCAATTTCTCGATACTGCGATAACAGAGACTTCACCTCCGCTTGCAAATGGTTCACACACAGATTTCTGAGCTATCATTGAGGAAAATAAATTGAACCACAAACAAAATTTTATGAATCAAGTTAAAAAGTAAGACTTAAACAACAGCAATGATAGGCTAATTCAGGAAGGTGAGCGAGCAATCTCTATTTTGATTGGGAAATGTGATAACTATCGCGATAATACTAGAGTAACCCATCCTAAAACGTAAGCTTACACACTGGGGGTTAGGGTTAAACCATAGAGCAAGGAACAGCTCTATGGTTAAACAATTACATGTAGGTGAGTCGACAGTGGTTGAAAGAAAGGAGAAGAATTCTGCCTCGACAACATGCCATTCGGTCACAGAAAAACACAGCGGTTTGCAGGAAAGGTTAACGAGTTTATTTGGAAGTTGGATCTGTCCGTGTCACATTCACTGTGTCACACATATGTGCTTGAGTCGCCTGTTGTCGCGCTTGTGCGCATGGGCCCTACCTGTGTGTCTTTTTTGTGCGTACGCGCGCCTCTAAATCGAAAGCAAACGTGTGCATGTTAAGATACTACATGTAAGCCTACATTACTTACTACGTGCCTACATTAGGCGTTGTGCTCTTTGGTTAGACTTTTCGGATCAGTTCTACTGTAACATGTTTTCATTAACTGGTAACAAGCTTAATACGTACATGTATTCAGAAATCACTATCCTACGTGCAAGAGCAATAGGACAAACGAGAAATTTCGCACACGTACCTCATTGCAATGTCGAAAATCTACATGTACGCACGAGCACCATTTCCAATTCTGTTCATTTACTTGATTTATTAGTCTATCTACCGATGGGGGCGCTGTTGTAATTTGTCAGAGGAACCGCTGGATCCGGAGGAACCAAGGAGTCAGTACTCCCTCATGCGCGTCTCGCCGGGGTGGAAGGGAGGCCTCCGAGGGTCTACGGGTCTATTCCTTCCTCCATGCATTGGGTCAGGGAAAGTTTTCCACCGATAATTGAAGTGAGTGGTTTTCCATGTAACATTGATTTTGTCAGTCGATTCCTCGAAGTTATTCAAAACCAAAATTTGTTTTAGCTTTTCCGAGTCAGTGAATTAATTAAATTTATTTGACACGAGAAAAAGACTTACACTTTTTACTTACACTCCAGTATCTCTTTGACACTTCTTTGCATCTACACTGCACATACACATCAAGTTTCCTCTGCATTACATCCAAACTTATGATCCTTGCTGAGTATAATAGTAGAAGTAGGCCTACTTGATGTGGAAGCCAAACCCAGAAACGATAATATTAGCCAACGAGAACAATCATTGAATCCGTTCTCGGCTGTCAGCCTCAAAACTGGCAGATGGCAAAGCAGCCGTTGCATTATTGCTCTAGTCTTCGAGGCAACAGAAGTTTTGTGAAAACTCAATTATTTTTATAGTTTTCAAACAAAATTTTGTCGATGTTTTTTGAAATTGCAAAAACCTGGAAAATCAATTTTTTTGCTTTGGTTTTTTTCTGGCCATTTCATTACATTCAATTCAAAGAACAATATTAAATGTTACAAATTAAAGTTTCGAAGGAAACTGGTGTTTACTTTCCAATTAATAAGGGATCGCATCGCTTGCCACTTGGAAAAAAAATGGAGGGAGGAGAAAAAAAAGAAAAATAAGGGAAAAAATCACCAAGTTGCGTCAGTAAATATGCCTTGGAAATGACTCCTCTACCATTGAATCATGGTTGGTCATCCCCCCCCCCCTTTCTGGCGACGCCCATGGGTCTGGCTTGGATTTGCGTAACGCAAATATGCACACACGAAGGGAGAGGGTGTATTGGCATTGCGTCACAGAGCTATAATAAATAAGGACGAACGGTATAAGTTGGTCAGATACAAGCATCTTGGACGCAAATATAAATTCCTGGCCGTTTCTAACGTTACTAAATTCAGCCCTATATATAAAACAAAAAAGACAGACATGAAAAATAAGATTGTGCTTTAAAATGTTGAATAAAAAGTCAAATGACCACGTGATTCGACTGCCTGTTCACACGTACCTGAAGACCAGAAGAAATTCTCAGATGCATTTCGCCAAATTTCTTTTGGTCTTATATTTGCGTCCCAGGTGTTTTATCTGACCAACGTATACTAATCGTCCTGTTTGTCGGAAACATTATTTACTCTGCATAAAATTAGTTGCGGCAACAACAGATCGTTTGTGTAATTTGTTGTACGTTTTTACATTTCCACTTGAATATCACATAACTTCCATATGCATTAGTCAGAAATATACCCCCCCAATAATATTAACGCTGGCCTTTTCATTAATATATCTTCTTGACACTTGATGCAAACTTCAAGTCTTTATTTTGTTAGATTCCTCGCGAAATAATATCTCAGCACATCAAATTGTATCATTTTGTAAGTTCCAATAAAAAATGCCCCTGCCAAAGCATTGCCATGGTCGAACCAAAACAGGAAGTGTTAATCTCGTGTCACAGGTCGTGTACACTGTAGCCTGAATCAGAATGCAAAGCCATCAGCCCTTAACCTAAAGTTGGTTCACTTACACCAAAGTGCGCCTTATGAACCAGCGTTGTGATCACTGATTGAGATCTGGCCGTGTGAAACAAACGGGCCCCAGGTGGACACAGCATACGCAATGGTTTTCATCTCCTCCCTGATTGTACGCAACTAATTGACGCATTTTCTGTTTTTCTTTAACTTCAGTACCAGACCGATGGTGGCGCCGGCATTAGAAGGATTTAAAACGGAGAGAGAAGTAGTGAGTAGTAACGATATGAGTATCGATAACGATGTGTATAAGGTAGGTATGTACCTAGAGCTCTGCGTACGTACAAATTGCCGGACAGTGTGGGCAGTGCATAGCGTTTATTATTTTATCCTACGGGAAACCGTTTTCAAAGCCCGAGAATATTTGCTGTTCAACTTGAATAAAAGTGTGGAAACGCAAAATATTCAAAATCGAAGCGTAAAAAATTTGTCGCAGCGCTGTGACGAGAAAAATTATAACACCACAAGAGGGCGCTAGTTAAAATTATTCTAGCTATGCAGCGCATGGTACAAATTAACGTCGCTGTTGAAGCTGAAACCACAATGAGCACCTCACCAATGCACTCTTCCCAACAAGACTCCTCATTGCGTATAAACGGCACAGGATTTTAAAGGATAATCTGGTACGGTCGAGGATTTATCGATCTCCATTACCCAACCAAAAAGAAACAAATCTGGAAGTGGAGAACATTCAGTTCAAATCCTAATGGAACTCCTTAAGGAAGAAAATTAAAAAGTGTCGGTTAGGCAAAAATAACAAAAATTGAAATTCGTCTACTCTGATCATAGCTTAAAGAACGATAATAAAGATTCTTACCATCAGTTGTAATGAATAAGTAAGAAAAAAAACCAAATGGTGACTGGTGAAATGCGGAAAAAAGGTACAGAAAATATGCTCCGTTTCCCAAGGGCACAGAAGAGAAAAAAGGTGGGACGGAAAAAAGAAGAAATTCATGGTGGCGCCCTAACTCCACTCCACTCCACTAAACTTGACGCATAGAGGCGACATGTATGGTAATACGCCCCTTACTTCCTACACTTCGGGCGCTGGACCGGGAGAAGAGCGAATGTATTTCGCGTAATTATCCACGGATAGAGGGCGGTCACACACACAAAGAACTTGGATCCGGAACCACAGAAATATTTAATAACTTCTGTGTCCCGAAAACATAATTATTCGATATCCCGACACCTGATATTCAAAACAAAAACTGTGTGACACAAATTAAAAATGCCACAGATTCCTGAAAAAAAAATAATTGCAAGTAGGCCCTGGTAGAAAAAGTGTGTAGCTTCTCTTTTGTCATTACCCTCAACTTGATACTGTACGAGGGATGCAAATCGGGATTAGGCTGTCGCATACGTGCAAGCCT